TTTAATGGTTGAGGCATTCTACTATATTTGACTTCACCGACACTGAATTTTGTGTTTTCCCAATCAAAATTTGTTAGCATTTTTGCTTTTTTCAGGTTTTGATCGGTCTTATTTAAATAAGCTGAACGCGATACATAACATGGGAATCAGGAAATCACTGGGTGCTATTCACACGAGTCCCATACCAAGCTTAATGTGTGAATCAGAACAACTTACACTAAATTATATTAGAAAACGACACCTATTAGCATATGCGTTTGGTCTACATGTTAATCCGGAACACCCTAATCACAAAAAATTCTTCAAAATTATTTACCCCCAAATCAAACATAGATACAAACAGTATCAATCAGCATCACACCACCGTTATGTAGATATAAAGGAAAGACTGTCAATCGATTTGCCTCCTCCTTTCAATATTGCGGCATTCTCCCGTATGTTTCCACCGTGGAGTCTGCACCCACTCTCGCTTGACGTATCACTCAAAGTCCACAACAAAAGGAATGCTCACATCTCACTATAAGAGCACAATTCAAAGATCTCATCAACTCGAAGTACAAGAGTAATCGACTGGTTTACACCGATGGTTCGAAAACTGATAGGCACACTGGAGCGGCTTTTCATACGTTTGATAAAGAAATGTGTTTCTCACTAAGTCCCATAACGGGAATATTCTCTGCAGAGCTTTTTGCAATATTTAAGGCCATTCAACATATATTGACCTCCAGCTATAAGAGATGGGTCGTGGCTACCGATTCATTGAGTTCCATTTCAAATATCTCCACTTTCTACTCCAACAATCCACTAGTTATGGCAATCAAAATGCTTCTACAGAAGGTCAATATCAACCACTACAGCGTCACTTTCCTTTGGCTTCCGAGCCACATAGGAATTCCTGGCAATGACAGAGCTGATTACTTGGCTGCAAAAACTCCCAACCCTCATAAAACCAACCTCGTTTTCTCCGTGCAAGATCTAAAGAATTATGGCAAACATATGATCGATAATATAATCCAACTAGAATGGGACTTAGACATGAATGATAATAACTGATAGGCACACTGGAGCGGCTTTTCATACGTTTGATAAAGAAATGTGTTTCTCACTAAGTCCCATAACGGAAATATTCTCTGCAGAGCTTTTTGCAATATTTAAGGCCATTCAACATATATTGACCTCCAGCTATAAGAGATGGGTCGTGGCTACCGATTCATTGAGATCCATTTCAAGTATCTCCACTTTCTACTCCAACCATCCACTAGTTATGGCAATCAAAATGCTTCTACAGAAGGCCAATATCAACCACTACAGCGTCACTTTCCTTTGGCTTCCGAGCCACATAGGAATTCCTGGCAATGACAGAGCTGATTACTTGGCTGCAAAAACTCCCAACCCTCATAAAACCAACCTCGTTTTCTCCGTGCAAGATCTAAAGAATTATGGCAAACATATGATCGATAATATAATCCAACTAGAATGGGACTTAGACATGAATGATAATAAGCTTCATGAAATCAAAAGGGACTATTTTGAAAATAATGTAGTTAACTTACCTAGAAGAGATTTCGTTGTGCTCAAGAGAATTCGTTTAAGACACACGAAACTTACCATGAACAAAGACACATGAACACCTCCTTAAAGGACAGAACCAGTCCATTTGTGAAACATGTAATCTTCCAATATCCGTCAAACATATTATCTTTGAATGCCCAAAGTACGCGTTAAAACGAAGACAACACGGTATCGTGGATAACCCAGAGGTAGCCCTTTCCTTCCAAAATAACAAGGCTATGTTGCATTATATAAAGGACATCGACATATATAAATATTTACGGAGAACGTTTAGTTTAGACATAAATATATAAATAATGGGATAAAGTGACGGTAAAAGACTCTACAGTCGATGCGTCTTTAACACATATCTCTCTCTCTCTCTCTCTTCTTCCAAGCCAACATGTCGAACAGTGTTTTCATGTGTAATGTAGAGATCACACTGGACTCCTAATTTAATTTTTGAACAAGCGACATTCGTTAGACAGAGAAAAAGATCAGTTTTATTATCCGAATTCCGAAGAAATTCAGACCATTTAGGTATTTTCGTCGTAGAACTGATTTTGATCCTGGCACTGGTACCACGATTTTCTCTTGTGTTCGACTTAATTGACATTTTCCAATAACTATCCCACGTTATGTGCAACTGAGGCGTGTTTTTGAATTCTGATAATATGTATGTCAAGAAACATCTGTTTTTTCGAAAGAGATCGTGTCGGAAGTGGGATTTAAAAGATGTATCAAACCACCACCATCGACTACTTATACTACGACTACTTACTTGTGAACTCCGCTCCACGCATAGTTTTATTATTTTTGTGTTTTAAATTTTTGCACAGTGGCAAAGAGATTTCATACATTTTGAATGTAAGGTTAAGTTTTTTCTCGTATATACTAATATTTTTTGTAAAATATAAGAGTGTGAATTTATCATGAGCTATTCTTGCTGTACCTTTTTTTTGTCAAAGAAAATGCCAGATGTAAAGTTAAGTAGTTGAATATGATAAGGCCGAGAAGTGACATTAGGTAGGAGGTTGTATAGGATTATGGCCACTGTTAAGTGAAAACAGAGATTTCAGTAAATTATGATAAGTTGCTGTTTTTTTGTTTGATTTTTGTATACATCAATAATTTTAAAAGGGCCTTTATAATTAGATTGTAATTTCCTATTGATCCCTGGTTTAATAATCTTGTTTTGAAGGTAAACATAATTGCCTCTTTTGAATTCGTATTGGTTAATAGATTTGTCGTAATAATTTTTTGATTATTTAGATTTAATATTTTCGCGAGCTAGTTCAAAACTTTTATTCAATTTAAATTTTCTATAAGAATGTTTCATAATTTTTTTTATAAAAATTTAAGAGGTAAAAGAAGGTAGGAAGAAAAAAATAAAAAGAAAAGTAGGACTTTCCTTTTTATTTTTTCCTTCCTACTAGGAATCCTAGTATGAGGCCTATATGTGCCTTGTGTGAGGTTCTTCTGATCTAAGCAGTTGAAACTCGCCAATTCTTGATTGTGATCGTTGCAAGGAACTTTCTTTTCTTGCCTTTGCAGATCCTGTTCGCAGCGCTAAAATTGTGTTAGATACCTTCTTCTTGATTGGCAATAAAACAATTTTTATTCTTCACTTTGATTTTATTTTAAACTGATTCTCGAAGAGAAGGAGGAGACTGTTACACGCGTAGAGGATAAACTAGAATGTGATTCCTTTGGGAACGTTTTCGTATATATCTAGGCTAAGGTTAAAGTTTATCTTTCAACCGTTTCGTTGGTAAGAAAATTTTTTGGGAAGAGAAATAAGGAAATCATTCGATAATTAATTTAGACAGATTCAAGTGTTCAGTGATAAAAATGTAAGAAAAACAGAACTATAAATTAGATAATTAATTGGTCTATTTGGGAACTTTGATGATGATCATCACTGTCGACGTTAAGTGTTAAAATAGATAAGTGGATTACTATTTTTAAAAATAATTCTTACATGTTGATACAAAAATATATTAATAAGTGTAAAAGAGGACTCTCTTACGGAATAAACTTAGTCATATTTAAATCTAGAATGAATGGGATTTTTTTTCAGCTTAAAGCCGGTTTTAACGACTCGGGACGAAGTCGGGATGATTCTTATCAACGACCTAATCATCCCAGTCATCCACAACCAATTAGTCAACCACTGAACTGTAGATGAGATAGACATATTAATTATTGGAGGAATAATAGCAGCCATACTCTGCTGGTATGGGTGCTGCAATTCGAGCAAAGCAGATTATCGAAGCAGATGGGAAGGAAGTAAAAGTAGGTAAAATTATCATCTTGAAGAATAAGATCTACTTTTCAATCATATTTTAGGTTGAGTAATACCTGTTTAGTTAGTACCTGTAACAGAGGATAAATCTGCATTTTTAACAAGCAGTAGTTGGTAACAGTGGCAACTAACAATAAATAATTGGTATTTCTATTCGGATTTATTATTTAATTCTTTTTCCAGGCACCCCTATGTATAATCATGGCAATTATATTGTTAAATTAGGGAATGTTGCACCTACATGGTTATATAAAAATATGTTTAAAATAAAATAAAATAGAGAAATACTATGACTGATATATAAATGTGCTTCATTTTCCCTAAATAATCAATTGTAAAATATTTAGCTAAATTAGAGATAAAGTAAAGATTATATTGATATTATAAAAGTAAAAGAAATAATGAAAGAGAAAAAGAAATATAAAGTTTGTAATGTGTATATGTTAAATATATATAGCTGATCGAAATATGAACCAATAGTCTGAGGCGACACAGCTGCTCGCGATCTTTTGATATTTTGACACATACGAGTTCTAAGTTCTGACTTGTGACGTTTGAGAAAGCCATGTACAAAATCTTTTCCCGGAAAATTGTTTTTAAATTTAGGTATAGTTTTACCTCTACTATCAAGATAGGTTTTCACCATTACTCTGAGATCATACTTATCCAGAGGATAACCCCAATCAGCACAGGTGATTAATTGTTTTAATATAATCTCCTCCTCTGTCTTTGTTTTGGTTTGAATTAAGTTGCGTCTTTTTTGCAGATCAAAAATATAAGCATTCAAATCTAGTATATAAAAAAATATAACAAAAATATTAATAATAATAACAGAAATATAAGTCAAAATAATTTTTTCAATAGTTTCTTACAACGTGGATTTAGATATATTTGCACTATAAATATATCTTCCATCCTCTAATCGGAATAACCTCAACCTTTCATTCAATCCCTTTTCAAATGTATCATACTCAGTTTCGGCTCCCTTTAAAAATATATATTTTCAACTGCTTTTTTATTTTTTCGAACTTCAGAATGACTGCTGATTTTGAAGGGTTTTTCAAAGGAGTTGAGTTTGTCCTCCTTGTGTTTTTAAATTAGGGTTTTTGAAATGCCCGGAAAGAAGTGAGTAGTGGATTTCATATTACATGCTTGCATCTCTATATGACATTCCAGTTTTTATTTCATTTAAGGCGCGTTCAAGATTCTCCTCATCTGTTCTTTTGTAAACCTTGGATCTTGGATCGTGTTTATAGTCGCGTATCGTGGTTATATATTGGTTATTCTGAAAATAATATGAGAAAATATCGTGAAAAGAAACAGGCGGGTGAATAGAAACAACGGGTGAATAAAAACAGTGGGTGAATAGAAACAGCGGGTGAATAGAAACAGCAGGTGAATAAAAACAAAAGTAGGGTCAGGTTTTTGGAAACAACGCGCTGGGAGCTCAAGTTGTTAAAATATGATGATTTCGGAATTGGTTACGTTAATGAGACATGTTAAGGTATATCAGGCATGAATTGCAAGCTAGTTACTTGATATTTACCTACCTTGAAACATAAAGTTTTACCGGAGACTTAAACGCGCCAAAATTACAAGTTCAACTAAATGACAGTTATTCAGTGTTGCCAATAGTAAAATTATGCAAATGCGTGATTTTAGATTGTTAAACCTGTCGTGAATTTATTAATGCAAAAAGAGCTTCCTGGATTAAATTTAAACAAGTTAGGTTTTTTTTTAAAAAACAATGCAATTTTATTTCTATTGCCCCTCCAGTTTCTATTCTCCCCATTTTACGGTATGATATATGACAGAGAAAGTTCTACATTTTAAAACCTTTTTATTTCCGTGATGTAGGACGTACATTACAAGGAATTGGTTCTTCAAAGATGTGTTCTAGAGCAAAATTTTCTGTTGCCACGCTCTTTCTGGGCGTGGATATCGGTGGTCGCTTAGGTTGTTTTTGATATTCTACCATCCTTATAGGTCTGGATGAAGATGTGGTGGAATCGTTTTGTGGAATAGAATTCGCTATAAGTATTGCTATAACTGATGGTTGTAGCTATTGATACAAATCCAAGAATTACATCCGGGTCGGCAGAAAATTCGTCTTGGCCAATTGGATAGTATACATCGGCACCTGTGGCAACATCACCATAGAACTGCTAATATTATGGCAATTGTAGCTAGAATTCCGAAAGCTGTGTTGTACCATTTCGAAGTTGATACGAAGAATGGTTGTTTTAGTCGTTCTTTTAAGTCTTCATCGAATTGTTGCAGCTTACTTTGGGCGTGATGTAAATAATTTAGGTTAAGGTTTGTTAACTTATGGGTTCCATTTCTTCGGTGGCAATGTATTTTTGCTCTTGAATGCAGCATTCGTCGTTAGAAATGTTGATATCAGATATATAGTTTGTATAATTTGTAGACTGGTTCGAGGAAGCTATTAGGATCGTCGATAATGTGTAGCATTTGCATTTTGGTTCCAGTGTGAAAATGGAAACGTTTTTCCCCCGAAGCATCGGCACTCATGAAGAGGTTTGCATTCTGGGGAAAAATGCCGGACGAATTGTGGAGATAACTTAGCCACCATTTCAGTTCCGCTGAAGCGGTCAGAGGAAGCACAACATTTTTTCCCGGCTCGTCTTGCGGCAGACGACGCCGACGCACACTGGGGTATTTAATACTGATTGTTAACCAAAATGATTATAGGCGCATTTTTTAATTGAAATCGGTATAGCAGACAAAACTATGGTAAAAACAATTAATAAAACATATTTTTGATAAGATATTAATTTATTAGTTGAAATTATTGTACAGGGTTATTAAAAATACTGCAATTTTAAACATCCTTAAAATCGCTTGAGCTGCATTTAAAAAATTTGGTACCCGCGGGTTTTTGGACATGTGGAAGTGAATAGCGATATTACTGGTCCTATTGTCATATTTCCCAGTATGGCGCCACATGTCGTAATTTTGATATATTTAATGAAAATCCCATTTTTTTATTTCAGTGAGTTGGGTGTGCTAAACCTATTGGAATCCTAATCTAATCTAATTCGAATCTTTAGTAATGATTATAAAATTACTACGTATAGTGTAAAACTAGAAAATGTGACAACAGTGTCGACATTATTGTTAAATTTTGTATGCATATAAACCTCTAGGTACAATTTTTTTTTTCGTAAAAGTACATCCTGGATTGCTATTGGCTCTATAACAATTTAAATCCAGCTAGTTTGGGTTTTACCTAAATTCTATAACGAGTTACAAGAACTTACACATTTTATTTTATCTTGGTTCAGCCATTATATATAATCTTTTACCCTAAGTTTATTATAATATACTATTAAAAATATGTACCTTATTTTTACTAACAATATAGAAAGCATCGATGAGAACAAAATTGTAAATTATTACGATCATGTAATTTAATTAAACTGGAATTGCATTAGTTTAAATATGTTTAAGTACCTACCTGGGCTATTTATAGTGATCTAGTAGTCACTTGGTATTTTTATTTGTTAGAAAATGCGTAATCTAACAATAAGAGCAAAAGGTTATCAGTTGTGTTTAAAGTCATAAATACACAAAAAATATGTTTTACTTTTCAATCAAACATCAATTTAGATGTATCCTGTAATATTTTAGAGAATTTGCTATAAAATATTATCGAAATAAAATACTAAACTTTTCAAAACCTCGTTTAATACTATAATAATACTATAATATACTATAATAATAACTACTATTGCGAGAGATGTGCCTCTAGTGACTCTACATGCCACAAAAAACATGGAATGCTCCCGCCCATAAACAAATATAGATACAATATTGTCAGGCTTACTTTAATTTATATACATATTACATCACACTTCCCTCCTACAAAAAAAAACTAATTATACATTAAACGTTGCACTGGTTTCACTAAACGTTTTGGCCGATTTTCACTGAGATCAGAATTAATATTTTCAACTTTATCAGGAGATGGTGAGTTTACAATCGAATTTTCTTGAGAAATTCCCTCATTATGACTTACGCCTTGTTCATCAATTAATTTTTTAGAAATAGCTGATTCATTAATAAAAAATTTCTTTATCTGGTTTAAATGACGCTTCCAAATAATGTCATTTAATGAAGGAATTTTTACCAAGTACATACCTTTTCCTATTTTTTATAAATTTTACCACGTATCCGAGTAGGTTTTTGGACATTTCTGTAATCCTTAACTGTAACATTTTCATTAATACTAAACTGCATAAATCTATTGCCTCTATGATAATATTTTTGTATATTTTGCTGCTTAATGACTTTATTTTTTACATTAGTAGAACTCGCACAAAGTTGATTATCATTTTCAGGCAACAAATTACTAAACCTAGTACGCACTTTCCTATTAAACATCAACTGCGATGGTGAAACACCAGTGCAATGAGGCGTATTTCGAAAATCAAATAGAAAATTGCATAATAACCTATTTAAATTATTCTCTACTTGAGTACTATTACTAGTTAGAGCGTTTTTAAGTGCAGTTTTAACTGTTTTTACCGCATTTTCGGCGGCCCCATTTGAGGAAGGATGAAAAGGAGGTGAAGTTTTATGCTTAATATTGTTCATACACAAAAAATTTTGAAAATCATTGCTGCAAAAAGTTTTTGCATTATCTGTAACTATAAATTTGGGTAATCCAAATCTTGAAAAACAATTCCTTAAACAGTCGATAGTTACCTTGGAGGTTATAGATGTTACTGGAAAAACTTCCAACCATTTAGTGTGACTATCAACTATCACTAAAAACTGTTTATTTAAAAAATGGCCCCATGAAATCGACATGTAGTCTTATACAAGGTTCTTCTGGCCAAGGCCAAGTGTCAAGAATTGCCTTGCTAGGGCTTTTCTTATACAATAGGCAAGAAGGACAAGCGGAACAAATATTTTCATGTCCTTGTCCAAACCTGGCCACCAGAAATATGACCTAGCTAAACTTTTAGTTTTAACCATTCCCATGTGTGTGGAATGCAAGTCTTTTAGAATTTGTTTTTGAAAAACACAGGGAATAATTATTCTATTGTTCCACAATATACACTCTGATTCAATGCTTAACTCATATCGAATGCGAAAAAATGGTTTTAAATTACCGGAAATATTTTGTGGCCACTCTGTAAGCAAAAATGTTTTTACCTCACAAAGAGTGCTGTCTTTTAATGACGCATTTTTAACTGCCTCAAAATTAATCGGAAAATTAATCGGAAAATCATATTTTGGCTAAAATAATTTATAAACTTCACGTCAACATTTTGCCACTCGAAATCAGAATTTTCCGAACTTGATAAAGGCATTCTCGACAAACAATCGGCATAATTTTTCTCTGATTTAACAAATTTAATATCATACTGATAATTTGAAAGAATGACTGCCCAACGTCTCAGTCTACTTGCTGAAAATTGTGGAATAGCTTTTTCCGGATGAAAAATTGTCGTAAGAGCCTTATGATCAGTTAACAAAGTAAATTTGCGACCATCCAAATATTGATTAAATTTACAAACAGAAAAAATTATGCTTAGTCCCTCTTTTTCAATTTGACTAAACTTCTTCTCAGAATCTGAAAGAGTGCGTGAGGCAAACGCGATGGGCTTCTCGCTGCCATCCGCATAAAGGTGAGAAAGCACACCCCCAATACCATAATCGCTTGCGTCGGTACTCAAAATAATAGGTAAGTCTGGATTATAATGCACTAATATGGGTGCTGATGTAAGAAGATCTTTTATTTTTAAAAAACTTGGTCACATTCTGGTGACCATGCCCACATAACATCCTTTTTAGCAAATAATATAAAGGATGGAGCAGTGTTGCCAGATTAGGCACAAAAGAACCATAATAATTTATAAGACCTAAAAAAGATTTTAATTGCGTTACATTTTGGGGCTGTTCTGCATCTTTTATGGCTTTTATTTTTTTGTCTGATGTATGTAGTCCTTCTTTATTAATAATGAAACCCAAATACTCAATTTGATCTTGGAAAAAACTACATTTAGGTAATGAAATTTTTAAACCTGATTCCTGCAGAATTTGCAAAACCTTTTTTAGCCTAATTAAATGCTCCTTACGATTACATCCAGTAATTAAAATATCATTAAGAAATACTACTGTACCGTCAAGGCCTTGCAACAATGATTCCATAATTTTTTGGAATTTAGCAGGTATACTTGCGATACCAAAAGGTGCCCTATTATATTGATATAAACCTTTGTGAGTGGAAATTGTCATCAATTCCTTTGAAGATTGATCTAAGCAAATTTGTTGATAAGCGTTAGATAAATCTAACTTGGAAAAATGAACGCCTTCTTGTAATTTGACAAAAAGTTCATTGATACGAGGCGAAGGATATTGATCAATTTCGATGTATGGGTTAACGGTAACCTTAAAGTCACCACAAATTCGTACTGAACCGTCTTTTAGTACAGGAACGATAGGTGTTCCCCTGCGACTGTAATTAACGGTGTAATGACCCCACTTCATTGTCTTCAAAACACCTCGAAAAAAACACTAATTAAACTTAATCGACACAATCGTGGGTTTTTCAGATAAAATCAGAGTTTAATATGAAACCCGATTTTACGTTCGTCGCCACTGTACTATTTTAGAGAATTTTAAGCTATAAAATATTACTCTCCTGAAATAAAATACTAAACTTTTCAAAACCTCGTTTAATACTATAATAATAACTACTATTGCGAGAGATATATACATGCCACAAAAAACATGGAATGCTCCCGCCCATAAACAAATATAGATACAATATTGTCAGGCTTACTTTAATTTATATACATATTACATTTATTTTTATTGCAAAAAATTTTGTGTGCAAAATTTAGTAAGAAGCCAGTATATTAATATTCTATACCTCTTATATGTAGAACTGGCACATATTCACTAAAAGTACCAAAACACATAAACACATCTATGAAAAATGTATACAGCGTGTAACAAAAGTAAAAAAAAAAACGGCGAAATAATCTCAGATATCACTCAAATAAATTACTTAATTTTGTTCACTTATGTTTGAAATTATGCCACATCCAATAGCGAGGTAGGTAACAAATATATTGAGAATCTTACACAGATTTTGAAAATGTCATAAAATTCTTTTATAACAGAAAAATGGCAAACTTGGCATCCATGTAGATTTCGCCATTGAATGCGGCATCGGCATTCAATGGCCGATGCTTAAGTACCCAAAATTTAATTCAGGTAAGTAAAGTTAAATACTATTACTCAGAATCTAAGGAAGTATGTTCGCTTAAATTGGAATCTGATGAGTTTGATAGTTCTGGCTCAGTGTTTGTTTTTGATCTAGAGCAGTTTCTTCAATCGTTTTCCCTGTAACGCTTTATTTCTTTATTACGGGCCTCTTGTGCCTCCTCGCTTAATTGACCTATTGGTAACAAAGAGTTTGAAATAATTTGAGGCCCATGTATTAATATCTTGTGTACTGTCGGAGGCATAAAATACCATGGATATTTTTGAACGAAAAGTTCAGCAGTCTCCTGTCAATACACATTAAACTTATCAGATTCGATTTCATAGTTGCACGAGATAGTTTGCATAATGATGTAAAATCTATGAACTATAGCTTCTTCAATGCCGGTAATACGGGCAGTTTTTATTTAACGTTATAAGTTATAATTTGATTCGTACAGTACACTCGTACTTAGCTATGATATTTTATATGAAAATTATTAACACGTATTCATTTTAAAGGTTTTTGTACACGACATGTTTCGAAACATCATCGTATTGAGACATACATAAATTTCACCTGTTTTTATGTTAAGTAGCTTACTTAGTTCAAAGAATACAGTTACTAAATTCGAATCTATTTAAAATAACTTGCGGTTTTATTGGGATCACTGTGACTAATTGATGATACTTGTGTTCGTTTTCAATAAATGTTTAATGTAGGATAGTTATATTTCTGACTTTTATTCCTGATAAACATAATAGACCCTTAATGCTGTTGATTACTTTATTTTAGCTATGTTGTGATATCGTATTTCTCTTTTTGGTTTCTTACTTTACCACTCTCATAAACAAAGTAAGTGGCGCCCTTTTCACTGTCTTTGACCATACCTATTTGAATTCTTAACATCAATATTAAAATCTCTGCCTATATAGCCTATATATTATCATTTTTTTTTATTTTTTAACAACATTAGAAAGTCACTGTGAGTCAGAAGCCTTACCTACGAACCCAGCTTTCCTCTAACCCTGAGCAACGGATTTTTTTTTATTCTATTTGGGTAACGACAGAAGAATCGTCACACATAGAAGAATAAAGTATATTTTCTAAATATAGATATTTGTTTATTTTTGATTAAATAAAGAACGCAGTACATATAACAAATAATACGCAAACAAACATTTAGAGTAAACATAAAAATATATCTCCAATTGGATTGTCACTTATTTAATTCTAAATTGACAGGCAATATAAGAGTTCCCATCATATCTTCTCCTTTCTCCTCTTCGGAATGTTGTTCATCTAATTGCTTCAATATATCGGTCAAGTATCTCTCCTTTTCATGTATGGTCAAATTATCCCTATCTCCAACATTAAGGGGTACCAAGTTAGTTCTCAACTGCAGATATCTTGTAATCAATACTCTTAACTTCTCATGAGAATCAGATTTATTACTGTAATAGTTAATAAAGTTTGAGTTTTTAAAACTAGCTATTGCAGTAGCTACTGTTGAGGCGATATCAAATATACGTCTATTAAGGACTGCACACTCATCCTTATCTTTGAGAATTTTGATATACATTCTATCTTCAACGCTCTGTTCTCGAAGGAGTTTTATAGCTTGACCAAATCTTGGTTTCAAACCTCTTAATAACACAGTGTCCAATAATTCTGGATGCTCCTCAAAAATATACTTGTCGATTAATATCAAGTGCTGCATTTCATGTCCCCTCATGAGATGGTGTATTTCTGCAAAGGCTGATGTTATAAAACTTTTCTTCTGAACTCCTATAGCAACTATTGCAACAATATATTCAATTACAACAAATTGAATTGATATAAATGTCATAAGGCCGGAAATATTGGCGTTTATCAAGCAAATAACCAACTTGTGACGAAGTCGAAGAGAAGCCAAGAAGTAACATAGAAGAGTAACATAGTTTATATTTATACATTATTACATAATAAATGATGTTTAATAGGATAAAAAAATTATTATTTCATTTTCGGTGCATAAACACACCCGAAAAGATTAATTTTAGTGTGAAATTAAAGTACTAATTTCAAAAACGAATTGAATTATTTCCAAACTCAATTGAAAATTATTATATATTCTAATTTACAATAAATAGTGCAACATAATTACAATTCATTAATGGCAAAAACACCCTGTATATCGAATAATAAATAACTAAATAGTTATTTTTTTATTTCGGTACAAGTTTAAGGGTCCACATATAAAAAACTTGATATATGTACGTATTTTACCACCCAGTGTGGGGTCATTCAATTAACATCACAAAAATAAATTCGTAAGGTATCTGGGAATTTTCTTTATTATTATTTAAATTTCTTAATATTTGAGTTAAGTTTAACTTATTTTTATCACAAATACTCATTTCTTACCCTTTTTATTATAGTAGTATTGCTCAAAAATTGACAAAAACGAAAAAGTGTACCGCCTTTTGTTAACGGTATAAATAATCGATATTTTCTCAAAAAGTAGCAAAAACTAGCAGCTATTTCTAAAGCCATCTTTAATCACAATATTTAGAGAATATTTTGTATCAAAATTTTTTGCAGGATCTGGCGGAAAACTTATTTAAAACTCCAAATTAAAATGTCCTTTTAAAAGTAAATCTATATCTGTTGACTTGAAATATTTTAAAATGAAATAGAACTAAACCAGGACAGTATTTTAAAAATGGGGTGCAAGGGGTATTGAAGCGATACATATAGCCTAGCTTACCCAAAAGTCAACCTCACCTTCATGTGGTGCACCCTGTTTACACAAACGAGGCTCTGACGTCCGAGTATAGGCGGTATAACCTTATACAACCCTCAGACCTACCATTCTTCTGGGGAAAAGGAGTAATAAAATACACCTAGCTGGCCGAGAACGTAACACAAGTGAACTATCGTCGCAGTCCTCACTGTGCCATAGCCATCCCGTGCTACAGTTGCAGCTAAAACTGTGCGGTAGCGTAACCGCCACAGTTAAACCTTTTTACGCAGCTTACACACAGCAATGATGGAACATTCGAGTGGGACAAAATTATCGTCCGGAGGTAAAATAGCCTCTCAATCGGATCTCCGGGAGGGGGTGCCTACTCGAACGTATCATCGGAGAAACCAAAAACATCAATGTTTCACGTTCGCGGCGTGGAACGTCCGCACTCTGTGTACAAGATAAATTCAAATCGACCAGAGAGAAGAACAGCACTGGTCTCACAGGAACTCCACCGACTAAATATAGATGTTGCCGCTCTAAGCGAAACACGCTTTGCAGATGAAGGTAGTCTCACTGAGAAGCATTACACCTTCTTTTGGAAAGGTCACCCCGCAACACACAGGAGAATTCATGGTGTAGGCATTGCAATCAAAAACGAAATCGCCACCAAGTTAACAGAAGTACCTATTGGTGTCTCCGAACGTCTTATAACCCTAAGGTACCCCATATCAGACAAAACTTACTACTAAAAAAACTCTAAAAACGTCAATATCATTAGTGCCTACGCTCCCACCCTTGACGCTAAAACTGAGGATAAGGATAAATTTTACCAGGCTTTACAAAATGCCCTTCAACGAATTCCAAAGCACGAACGAATCATCTTGCTAGGTGACTTTAATGCCCGTGTTGGCAAACAACAGGAAATATGGCCTGACGTATTGGGAAAACATGGAATGGGAAACCTAAATAGCAATGGTGAACGCTTATTGACAACATGCGCAGAGTATAATCTTTGCATCACCAATACGTGGTTCATGTTGAAGGACAGGTTTAAAGGTACCTGGAAACATCCTAGATCAGGTCACCGGCATCAATTGGACCACATAATTGTTCGAAAGACGCATCTAAAAGATGTTAGGCTCCACCGACTTTTAATTTCAAAAATGAAAATCCAGTTAAAACCCAAACATCCACGCTGTAAAAAGCAAAACAACATGGCCAGATTGAACGTACAGGGTCTAGAGAACAACAATACCGCCGACGCCCTCCGGGAAGCCATCAAAGAATCACTTCCACCCATAACTTCAATCTCAATATTGGAAGCTGAACAAGGCTGGACACAATTAAGGGGTGCGATTCATAAAACCAGCGAAGCAGTACTGGGAAAGTCGAACAAAAAGAAACAACCAGACTGGTTTAACGAAAATCAACCGCATATACAGGCTTTGTTGGAACAAAAGCATAGAGCACATCAAGCAGTCACTGCAAATCCACATAATCCAAGACTGGTAGACAACTTTAAAGCAGCCAACACCACGCTTCGAAGAG